CTGAGCTTCCCTGCATTCCACAAACCTTGGTGAGGCCTTCCCCACTCCCAGTTCCATGCTCCACTCCTCCACTTTCGCTTCCTTCCCGTGTCTCTCCAGTGCCTCTACCACCCGTGAAGTTTCCCCCTACTCTAGGACTTACTAATTTGGGGTATAGCCTGTCTCCCACGCTAGACTATAAGCTCCATGTGGGCAGGAACTTTGGTCAGTTCCATTTATTGTGTTCCCAGGACCTAGAACAGGGTCTGAGAACAAATGTCTGTTGAATGACTGAATGAACAGATTATTCTCCTCCTACAAGAGAATCTCTCTCTCCAGCAGCCCGGAAGACCTTGTAGACACCATACATTCCCTTTCCAACTGGCCCTGTGCCATCCACAGCCCCAGACACACCTACAGCGTGGGTGTGGGGAGCAAAAGGGGGGTTCATCCAGTCGCTTTAGCCAGACAATTCCTACCGCTCTTGAAGTCACGCATGGTTTTATTTGTTCAAACACATATTGCAGATGTCTTCAGTAGCCTCTGGTTGGGGGGGGTAGCTATCACTTCAGAAACAACCCCTTGGGCTGGCATGTGACTTTTCTTCTGAAAGATTTGCATCAGTGGGAAGGTAGAGGCAGTAGGAGAGACCAGAACAGGAAAGAAACAGCTGGGAGAAACAAGGTCTCAGGATCGTGTCTGGGATGGTCTGTACATTATCAGATTATGGCCAGGAGCCCTTGGGTGCCGAGGTAGAACACACGGTGCTTCGCATCGGTGTCTGATTAAGATGACCCCCCGAGAGAGCGGAAATGATGAGGAATAATTTTGGGGGAATCCAGGCTGGCACATACACGTAGGCTGGGCCCACCGGCCAAAAAAAATCTCATGTTCTTCACAGCAGGGTGTTCATGCTTCAACTCCGAGATTTAATTTCATTTTTTATTTTTTTAAAAAGACTTTATTTATTTGAGAGAGCGAGCGAGCACGAACAGGAGCGGGAGGGGCAGAGTAGAGGGAGAGAGAATCTCCAGCAGACTCTGTGCTGAGTGTGGAGCCCAACGTGGGGCTTGATCCCAGGACCCCAAGATCATGACCGGAGCCGAAATCAAGAGTCAGTCGCTTAACTGACTGCGCCACCCAGGCGCCCCCAACTCCGAGATTTCGAATTTATTCTGCATCGTTGCCTATTAACTGTGTCCATGTCATTTACATTTATTGAATTTAAGAATCCAGGGTCTATGACACATTCTAACCCGATGTCAAGCTTCAGGAAGAAGGCAGAGAAGTGCCGGCTCTTACAGAAGGCAAGTCCTCAGACATCCAAGTGGACAATTGTGTGTTCCAAGTAGGTGCCCAACCCAGCCGTGTTTTGGGGACCTGCTTCCCCCACTTTCACTGGACTTTTTATTAGTAAAAAAAAAAAAAAAAAGGTTTAAGGTCCGAATACACAATTTTCCCCATGGAAGCATTTGTCCCAAGCAGCCCCATGCCCTGAATACTAAGTAAATAGGAAGGAAAAAGCAGATAGACTCAGCAAGGAATTCAGCTTCTTGTTCTTTCCTGGGTCTTTAAGGTGCCACATGAGGGCAGAACTAAGTCCTGGGTTTTCAACTGGCTCTCCTGGGTTGAAACAAAGAAGGGGGGGCAGGGGGTAAAACGAGGCTTTCATCTGGCACAGTTACCTTAAGCATGCCTGTTCCCAGGTGCCTCTGATGGGAGAAAGTTCCCTTGAACTTTCAGCAGCCCCCGCAGCTCCATGAGCAGGTAAGGGACTGTGACTGTGCACTTGACCTGAGAGCCCTGTTCTCTTTCTCTCTCTCTGGGGATAGGTGGACACGGCTAGTTTTCTGTTAGACCAGGCAGAGTGCTTGTAGCCAAGGGCCATGGAGCAGTGAGATGTCCCAGGAGCAGGAATTCCGGAGGGACAGGCTGCCCAAGACTAGCAGGAGCAGGTGTAACGGCTCCCTGACCTGGCTCCCGTCCAGTGCAGGGCAATCAGGAGCCAGGCAAAACCTTGTTAACCCTTTGTGACCAGAGGGCAAAAGAAGTCCCAAGGTGCCACCTGTCTCATCCCATTCCTCAGCTTGACCTTCACCTCTCCACTTTGGCAGAGCCCTACGTGAAAGGCGTAGTTGTATTTCTTTCCAGTGGACGTATTTCCTGTAACCACCTATAATTCGCTTCCGATCAAGTTTAGAGGCAGATGTTTCCATAATTGATAATCTTATCTGGAGCTGTTCTAAAGTGTGACCCAGACGGGATCTTTCCAATCAAAGGTCTGACTCATTGTTATACGCAATCATCTGTTTTTTATTTTAAAACACATCTACACTGCATTGAGCACCAACACAGATGTGACCAAGAAACCCACAGTCCTGTCCCAGCAGGTGGCGGGTCCAGTGTATGACTTGGGGCGGAAAGTTACTGTTCACAGTGAGAGAAAAAAAAGAAAGGACACGCAAGACAAAATGGACTTTGTCCCCAACTCCCGTTCAGGAATCTGAGCGATGAAACAGAAGGATACGTAAGCACACAAAGCCCTTCTAAAGCCCCTTCTCTCAATCAGCAGATGTTCAAATACGGACCCCAGGTTGGTGGACCAGCCAGAGTTGGGTAACAGAAGGGCACGCTGTTTAACATAACATCCCCACGTTACTGCAAGAAAGAGAGGAATGGGCGGTGCTTTTCCAAAGGATAGTTTACTTTTTCGTACAAGTTGAGAGGATATCAGACCTGCACAACTACAATCATGACAAAGCACCTGCTCAGTATAAAAACTTTGTGTTTGGGAAAAAGAAGGCAGCTGAACTACAGAAAATGTACTGAGCTGGATGGTACCCGCCCCATATGGTAGCGTGGGTTCCTTTACTCTGATGATCTTTTCAATGATGACCCCACGGAAGTGTGTGGGATGTGTCACGGAGACCGAGAATTTCTTTTATTTTTTACGTCCAGTCTTTAAATTCCACCTGCTTTCTTAAAATTACTATCTTACAGGATTATTTTTGTGTCCCGCATGTTTCCTCTGAGGCAGAAAGTAATCAGGCCAGAGGGACACACAGGGTTTCTTTCTGTTTGGGGAACACCATAGTTCTTGATTTCTGGAACATCTGAGCCTCGGGCACCCTTGGGCCTCCAGCAGTCTCCCTGGCATCCAGGGCTAAGACTTCCATATTTCAGAACAAAACAGCCAATCTGAAGGGCTTAGGTCCTGGGAAGAGAAAAGGCTGTTCCAGGAGCTCTGGCTCATCATCTGAGGGAAGAGGAGACGGCAGGTGGGAGCAAATCTCTGAGTCACCAAGTCATCGCTGGAGAAGGCAATAAGCCAGCCTAGAGCCTGCCCCATGACCTTATTGTGAGAAACAAAATCCCTTCTCCAAACCGTAGACTTCCTGTTTGTACTCTAACATGGGGGCCTTTGAAATGATTTATCTGGGCCAGTGAAAGGCAGTTGCTCATTACATATTATACAACTTTAGATTTTCTACTTGATTATTCATAAGAAATTAGGCTTTCACAACAGACCAAACTAGATTGGAATGTGTACATTTCAACAGAGTGGAGATTGCACAATGCTTATGCTGCTCACGAACATGGTACTAAACTCAGGGACTCCATTGGTATAAATATTTCCAGACTTGATTGCATTTTAACAATAACAGAGAATGGTCAGAACGGAGACAGGATTATAATTTCAAACATCGATTAAATTATATTGTCTTAGTTACAAATCAGTTTACATTGCTTTGCTCCATTTTCTATGCATTTTGTCTTTTAAATCATCTTTTACAAAATTTATATTTAAACATATTTTCAAAAGACAAAATGCCTAGAGGAGCAAGTCTCGTGAATTGTCTTTCCCTGGGTTACTTTTGGCAAGCGGAGGGATCACCATGGATTTGGAGTGGGATCGCCAAGCGATTTCCATGGGTCATCTCCTCCCACGCGCTCAGGGACGGGGAAGTCGGAAACTCTCTTTTAAAAAAGTGTTGGTAGAAGGGCACTGTTCTTCAGCACTTTAGGGCCTGTGAAAACAAAGAAAAAGGTGACTGTCACTTCTCTTACTGGCACTGTAAATAGTAATCGTGTGAGTCATGGTCCTATTGTCCTTCCATATAAATCTGGTAGTTCTGGAACCTGGAGCTCTTCTCCTCTCCCCGCTCACTCCTCCTGCATGCCTGGCCCTCACACAGCCAGGGGCAGGTTCCCAGGCTCTTCCAAGCACATAAATCTGCGACCGTATTGTGGGTTGTGTCCCTCAACCCCCAGTTATATAGCACTTGTCCTCTCTGCCACCCCCTACCCCCCATTATGTATCATCTCCCCAACAGAAATAAGAAAAAGTCTTCCTCTGGTTATGAGTTTGGATCTTCTGAATTCTTAAGTTTTCATAAAGAGGAAGAACTCCTTCCCTTCATCAATAATCACTACTAGGAGTTCACTACCATGCATGTGGGTATGTGCAGGGCAGGAGTAGAGGGAGGGGACCCCACCACCAGGAGAATTCTCATGGTGAATGGTGCCCAGGCTCTGCAATGGATGCTCTGCTGAAGGCCCCCCCTCCCTCCCTCTGATGATTGGGAGCAGGGCAATTAGGTAACAAGTTGAAACTTGGTTTGGATTTTCTTTCAAGTTCCCTTAGTTGAAAAATTAGAACGAAAGGCCAAATTTGATTAGATCTCAACTTTTGAGTCAACTCAAAAGCCATCTCTGGCTCTAACTCTCTTTTTTGGACACTTAGAAGGGCCAAGTAGATACCTGTTCTCCTGGGTATACTTCAGATGTAGTCCTCACAGATGTAAGGGGCTTCTGAAAATGACTTTTTTTAAAAGTAAACTCTACACCCAACGTGGGGCTCAAACTCACAACCGTGAGATCAAGAGTTGCATGCTCCTCCCACTGAGGCAGCCAGACATCCCTGGACATGATCTTTATTTAGAGGTTTCAATTAGCTCAAAGGTTGGAGTTCTAGATATGACTGCTCTCATTTACCTACCACATGGGTGTAAGTTATTTACTTACGAGTACCTTCCTGACATTTTTCGAGCAACCACAATGATGATCCCACCGATGAATCCAATGGCTAGTAAGACTCCAACTATAATTCCAACCAGGGTCACTGTTGCCAGGCCATCTGAATGAGGATGGGAAAAAAAAAAGCATGAGCCCCAGTTAAATGGTATCCCTGTGATAGAATGTGTCATTTATAAACAATACCACTGCCCCACTGAAGTTGGCAAATCATGTTCTAATTTGCTTCTGCTTATTCAGTGGGAGTTGACCTAAAAGAGATGAAACTTTGGGCTACTCTCATCCCCTCATATGAATGGAAAGATTCCTGGGTCTCAGGATCTATCAAGCATACCATTCATACTGGGTGGCTTCACTGTTAATTATTAGGTAACGTCTGTGTGCTGGATTAAATGAGCCCCTACTTTCATCCTTCATAACAATAAACTGTGATACAACACCATTCTCCATGACCGTCATTAAGTGACTAGACTCCTTTGTGGTTTGTGTATTTTCAAATACAGGCAATTTTCTTTTTTCTCTTAAAAGGGGTTTGAAACCTCTTCTCAGAGGGTTCTGTATTTCGCTCTTGTTGACTACAATCCAGGGAAGAACGTAATTCATCACAAGATTAGCTTCAAAGAAACTTTTTTTAAAAAACTCCCATAAAAATACTTGATAACAAAATCTCGCCTACCTTTCTCAAGTGTTGTCTCTGTATCTTCACCTACTTTCTCTGTAAAGAAAGAGATATAATGATACAGAATTATTAGGATATAATAACTATAATTTAACAAGTGGCAAAAGATGAATTTACCCTAAGTGGAAGGTAGCAAGACACAAGCAAAGAATAAAATTTCTTAAATAAATTGAATCAGAGGATTTTTAAGCAAGTTCTGACACGATCTTGTCTTCAAAACTATTATTACTGAATTTACAAATGCTTCTTCATATACCTATGCGTCCACAGTACTTTGGTGTACCTTACTTTTTTGTCATCTACTTTAGAGAGCAGTGTCAGGGAAATTGACCCACAGAAATGGTCAAAAAGTCTCAGAGGTTTGAGTAACAAAAGAAACCAAGGCTGTTGATTCTTGGACCAATATCAAGACCATAGAAAACTCATCCACTGTGATAAGGTTTATTTTGAAGAATTGTATTTTGAGAGCAATATACTCTAGTTCTGGAAGATGGGGCCCCGACTGTGATTTGTCTTGTGATATCAATTCCCTGCTTTATCTTTAGTAGTAAAATTCACATCTTACAGGGCAGCGATATGCCCAGCTAAGTTTAATGACGGAATATACTCTTTGTGTTTATGTCACTATTACATTAGGATTTCTCTCTGCAGCCAAACCTAGTCCAATAGTTACAATGTGAATATTCTCATTTACCTACCACATGGGTTTAAGTTATTAACTTACAGTAAGTAAACAATGAAGTTGTGAGTTTCTTTCAGATAATTTTACACAATGCCTATTTAAAAGTAAACGTTTTTGGTTTGGTTTGGTTTTTCCCATCACCTTCTTTGCATACCAAGTCTTTAACTCCTTCGGGTGGTGGTCCTTTACCTGGTTTGCAGATGGGGGAAAAGTCAAGAGGCTTTCATTTAATGAGACAACAGAGAGAGTCAATCAATCAGGTCCCACCCTAGAACTATAGGTCACAACTTGCAAATACTACATATAACCAAGAGCTTTTCAAATCAAAGGTGAAAGCATCATCTCCAAGATGCTTATTTTTCTAATGCGTGGATTGTTTTTTTAAGATTTTATTTATTTATTTGAGAGAGAGAATGAGAGAAAGAGAGAGAGCACAAGAGTGGGGAAGCGGGAGAGGGAGATGCAGACTCCCTGCTGAGCAGGGAGCCCCTTGCGGGACTCGATCCCGGGACTCCAGGATCATGACCTGAGCCGAAGGCAGTCGCTTAACCAACTGAGCCACCCAGGTGCCCATCTAATGCGTGAATTTGAAAGAAGTCTTTGTATCAAGACTCTCTTCAAAAATAGGCACCTTTTCAAGATGGCCCTATAGGATAAGGATCCCTGAACACAGCTCTGCCAGCATGAGCTGAAGCCATGGCTCTGGGACATTTACATGGAGCTCAAGCTGATGGTGCTATCCCACCATAAAAAAAAAAAAAAAAAAAAAAAGGTTCAAAGACTGGTGGGTCTGAGGCCAGCCCGGAACAAATGTATCACGGAATTGCTCCTAAAAGGTCATCCCTTTGGCTGCCATCTACCAGTAGGAAAAAGTCAATCGTTTGTTTATCACATCCTAACATGGCAGCTGCTGATTTCCAGACTTATGACACATCATTCTCACCATCAGTGACACCATTGATCAGAAAACATATTACCAAAAAATGTGGAAGATTCATTACCAAATTAGAGCTTATTAGTTCTATCCTCCCTAGCTCCAGCCCAATTATACTGACTGTAGTCATGGCAGTGAACATCATTACTTGGGTGTTTCATGGGAAAGACATCTGCTGCCCTAATAAAATTACCTCTTAAAAAACCAAGTGCTTATAATTACATTTTAACTCACATGTGAAAATTTCTTGGGACACTGATGTATTATGTGGAAATGTGCCATAAGTCACGCTTATTGTGACAGGGTGGGGCAGGAGACCGGACAGGAGAGGAATCATGAGTATTTTCCTGAGAATTGAGAATTTTGTTTTAAAGGAATAAGAGAGGTATGCTAGTCTGATGGGAAGAATACTCAACTTGGGACACTGCATTTTCGGCAGCTAATGAGCTGTCAACTTATTTCACAAATGATCAATTCTTCTCCAAAATTTTGAAATGTTTTCCAATGATCAATTATATTGATGATTCTTTCTTTGCTTAGCCCTATTTTGTTCTATCTGGTGTTTAATTGTTCACCATTTCTTTAGCATTTCAGAGTGACCTTTAGACTTTATTTTCAAAGCACTTCATAAAGCTTCCCCCCCACCATTGTGGTAAAATACACATAACATAAAACCCACTGTCCTCACCATTTTTAAATAGTTCAGTGGCATGAAGTACATTCACTCTTGTGCAACCATCACCACCATCCATCTCCAGGACTCTTACCATCTCACAAAACTGATATCATTAAACACTAACTCCCCACCCCCATTTCCCCCCAGCCCCTAGCACCCACCATCCTACTTTCTGTCTCATGAATTTGACTCATATAAGTGGAATTATATGGTAGTTTTCTTTGGGTGACTGGTTTATTCCACTTAGCATAATGTCAAGATTCATCCATATTGTAGCAGGTGTCAGAATGTGCTTAGGGGCTGAATAACAGTCCATTAAATGTATACACCACATTTTGTTTATTCATTTATCTGTTGACAGACATCTGAGTTGCTCTCATGTTTTAGCTATTGTGAATAAGGCTGCTATGAACACTGTGTGTACAAATATAGCATAATTAAAAAAAAATTTTTTTAAATAAGCTCCACAAAAGGGGAACCCTCCTACGCTGTTGGTGGGAATGCAAGCTGGTACAGCCACTCTGGAAAACAGTTTGGAGGTTCCTCAAAAAGTTGAAAATAGAGCTACTCTACAACCCAGCAATTGCACTACTGAGTATTTACCCCAAAGATATAAATGTAGTGATCCGAAGGGGCACATGCACCCCAATGTTTATAGCAGCAATGTCCACAATAGCCAAACTATGGAAAGAGCCTAGATGTCCATCAACAGATGAATGGATAAAGAAGATGTGGTCTATATATACAATGGAATACTACTCAGCCATCAGAAAAATCAAATCTTGCCATTTGCAACGACGTGGATGGAACTAGAGGGTATTATGCTCAGTGAAATAAGGCAATCAGAGAAAGACAAGTATCATATGATCTCACGGATATGTGGAATTTGAGAAAGAAGGCAGAGGATCATAGGGGAAGGGAGGGAAAAATGAAACAAGAAGAAACCAGAGAGGGAGACAAACCATAAGAGACTCTTAATCTCAAGAAATAAACTGAGGGCTGCTGGAGGGGAGGGGGATGGGAAGGATGGGGTGGCTGGGTGATGGACATTGGGGAGGGTATGTGCTATGGTGAGTGCTATGAATTGTGTAAGACTGATGAATCACAGACCTGTACCCCTGAAACAAATAATACATTGTATGTTAATTAAAGAAAATTGTTCACATTATGCCTATGTATTTCAGATTTTTTTTAAATAAAGAGGTCAAAATATATATATAAAAAAAATAGGCTCCACATCCAGTGTGGGACTTAAACTCACAATCTTGAGATCAAGAGTCACATGCTCCACCAACTGAACCAGCCAGGCAGCCCAAATATAAAGCAATTTTTAAAAAACTCTCAAAAGTGCTATAGAGTTTTTAAAACCAGAGTGGTGATTGGGTCTAGAAATGTATATTGAGGGGCGCCTGGGTGGCTCAGTCATTAAGGGTCTGCCTTCGGCTCAGGTCATGATCCCAGGGTCCTGGGATGGAGCCCCGCATCGGGCTCCCGGCTCAGCGGGAAGCCTGCCGCTCCCTCTCCCACTCCCCCTGCTTGTGTTTCCTCTCTTGCTGTGTCTCTCTCTGTCAAATAAATAAATGAAATCTTTAAAAAAAAGAAAAAGAAACTTATATTGAACAATAAAGTCACTTTCTAGGTGTTCAGATGTGCCACTGATTTGAGGAACCATCGATTTAGGCAAGGTCTTTATGTTTACTTTCATTTAAAGATGGAAACACCTATCTAGATAAAATAATTTATATAAAATTGCTCATTAGCAGGGCGCCTGGGTGGCTCAGTTGGTTAAGTGTCTGCCTTTGGCTCAGGTCATGATCTCGGAATCCTGGGATCAAGCGTCACTTCGGGTTCCCCGCTCAGTGGGGAGTCTGCTTCTCCCTCTCCCCCTCCCCCTCCCCTATCTCTCTCTCTCTCAAATAAATAAATAAAATCTTTACAATTTATTTATTTTTTTTTAAATCTTTACAATTTCTCATTAGCAAGCATTCACTGCAGTTATCGGAGGATTAGTTTTTTTCCCTCTCCCATCCCATATACTACAACATAAGGCAATTTTAAAATAAAAACCCCAAACAACTGCATTTCTCTTAAGAAAACTCTAGAATCGGGAGGCTATCTCTTTCCATTGTTAAGTTGTAAAGAAATCATAATGTAATGATTTCTCTTCATTTTCAGTGATGGTCTGCACCTCAAATGACAAAGACCCAAGGCAGCGGTCCTTTTAACACTGCTGCAGGTGCCAACTATGAATCAAAGTGTAGCCCCCAATCCTGGTAAGACTGGTTTAGGATAGATTCTTGTTCCATGTGTACAGACATGAACTCAGTGTGAGATGGTAAATATTAGCATAGAATCTATTACAACTTACATAGGTTGGTCAAGGTTTCCGCTCTTGGGTGTCAACACAAGGTTCTTAGTGTAACATTCGATCAGCTTACCATCAGCAACATGACACTAGTAGCTAACTTGCCCTTGTGGGGACATTATCACTAGTTGTCATTCAAAGGGGAAAGCTGTGTTCAGCAACCCAATAAATCAAATTCAATTTAGCAACCCTATAAATTGAATTCTGAACCTAGCATATAAGGCTTGGTTCAGAACTCATTTAGCACTCCAATACGTGCCCTACTAATCATTAGATTTGTTCGTGGATATTTGTAATGTACGGATTATAAAAGAAGATTGACGCCTATTGGGGGCAACTGGTTTTCTTACCTACAGAGTGATTAGTCACTACATTCAAGGCTGTGGTGCTTTGGCTCTCTTCTTTGGCATGGACTGTGCTTTCTTGAGTCGGCCCATCCTCTAAGTGAAAGTCTGTCACACTCTCCGTATTTATTGGCACCTATTAGAGAAGGAAATGAGGCAAAAGAGAAAAAAATCTAACGTTTTAAAATATATACTCAACCTTAGAAAAGGATTTAAAGCGCCAGAAAAAAACATAAAATATATGATGACATCAATTTAAAGTGGAAACAAGAAAACAAAAAAACAGAAATGACAGAGTGAGGACAGGAATGACACCAAATGTACTCCGGAAATAAATATCAAATATTTAGCATGACTAAACTGACTAATCTAAAAAATTGACTTCCTAGGGTCTTAATTCTTCAAAAAATACCAGGTCACTAGGCTTTAATTCTTTCTCTCCCTTGAACTTGAATGGCATTTTTTTTCCCTGTAATATTTATTTGGTACATATTATGTCGTATCATCTTTCAATGCCCTCCCTCCCCCAATTAAAGGAATAACTGGCTTTTATTGAGAGCTTACTGTGTGCAAGGCCCTTTAAAGACTTTCTCATTTACTCCATAAACAACACTGTAAAGGAAATCCTATTATTAGTCCTATAGTCTGAACAAGGCCTAGAGAGATTAGACAACATGCCCAAACTCACATAGCCAACAAGCAAGAAGACTTGGACGTGATCCTGTGACTCCAAAGTTCATGCCGATGTAGCACTCAACAAATATGCCAGTGAGCCCAGGCAACAAAAGCAAAATTAGATGAGTGGAACCACATTAAACTTAAAAACTTTGTGCATCACGGGCACCTGGGTGGCTCGGTCATTAAGCGTCTGCCTTCAGCTCAGGTCATGATCCCAGGGTCCTGGGATCAAGTCCCACATCGGGCTCCCTGCCAGGCAGGAAGCCTGTTTCTCCCTCTCCCACTCCCCCTGCTTATGTTCCTGCTCTTGCTGTATCTCTCGCTGTCTCTGTCTCTGTCAAATAAATAAATAAAATCTTTAAAAAACAAACAAACTTTGTGCATCACAGGACACAATCAGCAGAGTAAAAAAGCAACCTATGGAATGGGAGATAATATTTGCCAATCATATCTCTGAGAAGGGTAAGAAGAACTCCTACAACTTGACAACAAAGAATCAAGTAGCTTGATTCAAAAACGGGCAAAAAGGGGGCACCTGTGTAACTCAGTTGGTTAAGCATCTGACTCTGGATTTCAGCTCAGGTCATGATCTCTGGGTCATGAGATCCGGGCCTACATCAGGCTCCACGCTGAGAGTGGAGCCTGCTTAAGATTCTCTCTCTCCTTCTGCCCCTTCCCCCTGCTTGTACGCATGCACCGGCCCCCCAAAAAACAAAACCAAAACCAAACACCAAACAAACAAAAATGGGCAAAAGGGCTTGCACAGACCTTTCCCCAAAGATGATATACAATGGTCAGTAAGCATATGAAAGATGCTTAGTATCCCTAGTCATCAGAGAAATACAAATTAAAACCACAATGAGATTATCACCTCGTACCTTTTAGGATGGCCACTCTCAAAAAAACAGAAAATAACATACTGGCAAGAAGGTAGAGAAACTGAAACCATCGTGCACTGTGGGATTGTAAAATGGTGCAACCACTGTGGAAAACAAGATGGAGGTTCCTCAAAATAATTAAAAATAGAACTACCATATGACCCATCAATCCCAGTTCTGGGCATATACCTGATCGAAAGCAAGGTCTGGAAGAGGTATTTGCACATCCATTTTTATAGTAGCACTATTCACAATAGCCAAGAGTTGGAAGCAACCCAAATGTCTACTGACCGATGAACAGATACACAAAACGTGGTACATTCAATGGAATAATCAGCCTTAAAAAGGAAGGACATTTTGACATGTGCTACAGCATGAATAAACCATAAGGATATCATGCTAAGTGAAATAAGACAGTCATAAAATATCCTTGCCTATGATTGCATGCCTATGGAGCAAACTCCACTCTTCTTGAACACTCACCAGAGCTGTTAAGCCAGACTCATAAGGCTCTTCACTGGTGCCTGTGGTCATCACGTTATCTTCTGCACCTGGGGTCACCACGCTATCTTCTACACCTGGTGTTATGTCATCTTCTGGCCGGACTGTGCTGGCTAAAAAAGACTGGGTCAGGGCTTAAGGTAGAAATTGTGTGACCTAACTGGCCAGCTACAATCAGATTATTTTCTTTACCATTTCTTTTGGGGATTTTTTTGGGGGATCATCTTTCCAGCTTACCACAAACCATTCTCCTTGCTGCACCTGTGTCACATACAATGGCCTGGTGGTCTCCATAGTAAAGCAAAGAGGGATAAAAATACAAAACAGCGAAGCTGCCCCCCCTCACTGTGGCAGGGTGACAGGGGGATGTATGCCTTACCTTTTCAGTAATGAACCAGATTCTTCCTAGTGCCATTTCATATAATTCATACAATAGTGCATTCAGGTTAATAGAATAACATTTAGGGGCGCCTGGGTGGCTCAGTCGTTAAGCATCTGCCTTCGGCTGAGGTCATGATCCCAGGTTAAGTGTCTGCCTTTGGCTCAGGGTCCTGGGATCGAGCCCCGCATAGGGCTACCTGTGCCACGGGAAGCCTGCTTCTCCCTCTCCCACTCCCCCTGCTTGTGTTCCCTCTCTCACTGTGTCTCTCTCTGTCAAATGAATAAATAAAATCGTTAAAAAAAAAAAAAAAGAATAACATTTAAGGGCGCCTGGGTGGCTCAGTTGGTTAAGCGTCTGCCTTCAACTCAGGTCATGATCCCAGGGTCCTGGGATTGAGTCCTGCATGGGGCTCCCTGCTCAGCGGGGAGTCTGCTTCTCCCTCTGCCCCTCCCCATCCCCCTCACCCCATGCTCGCTCTCTCTCTTACAAAAATAAATAAATAAAATCTTTACAAATATATATCATTTAGACCTGGAAACATTCTAAATTAGAGTCACCTGGAAAGATTTCTAAAAATTCCAATTTGCAGGCTCTATCTTCAACATACCAAATCAGAAGGTCCAAAAGCGGATCCCATCTCTTAAAAATCAAGCTTGCTTTCCATTTAATTTTGAGACCGATGTCTCCTTGAATGATGAGGGCTCTGAGGTTACTGTCCATGGGGGAGAGTCAGTAACAGTGCCAAGATACCCAACAGAATTCTTAGTGCACCGAGAGCTATGCTAATGAGGGACCTCAGTGCCCCTGGCCGGGGCTTTTCTGCATTAACACTGAATGAATGACCCTGTTGTACCCATGAGAAAGGTTTCCAGAGGAGCAGGGCATGGGTGGAGTGGGATAGCAAGTTGAATTCCACCCGAAGGTGGAGTGCGGGGGGCGGGACAGATAGCAACAGTTGCGTTTTCTTGAACCTCTGTCGCGACGATCCAAATGAAGCACGACCAAGCAAGGGTATTATCTCAGCTCATCAAATAACCCTTTTCACGAGTTAAAAATCTGAGTCATTGGCCACGGGCTCCCTCCCCATACTCAGAGTGGCTCTGGAAACTATGGCTAAACAGAGTTGCAAACTAAGCAAGCATACACATCCCAGGAGCAAGAGGGAGGGGGTGCTTGGAGACTTCCTTGTGTAATTAAAGAGTAGATGTTTGTATCCAGGCAGTGCTCAAGTCAGCAATCTAGTCCTTGCCTTAAGACACCTTATTTCTCTCTATGCTTAGAAAGCCCAGCCAAAGGCACAGCTAATAAATATTTGATCATAACTTCTTTGCTGATGCATAGAGGGAGAAAGTCTCAAGAGTAAATTCACTGGTTCTGTGAGCCTTCTCTTTGTATCTGGAGTCCTAATCCAGTGCTGCCAATCTAGGGCTTTGGATGAGCTCTCTAAGCATATGCATTTATTTTTTCCATGGGGGGGGCGGGAATGGCTTTCACCAGTTAGCAATAACTGAATACCTCAGTGCATGCAAATAGTTTGCCTCCCCTCCTGGTGGCTCGCTGGGGTGGGGGTGGGCAGCGATGGGCTCCCATCAGGATTTATGACTGTGGTGTTAGGCAAATGTTGAATGTATTTATCAAGCTCAAGGGGGAAATATACCTTTGTCAGGCAAGTAGTCCTTACTAAACACACACACACACACACACACAAAACCTACATCCCATTTTCTTTTCTTTCCCTCCTGGTTTGAACAGTTAACAAATCATCAATTTTAGCAATCTTTTCTGGAGGCTGCTCAGCAAAACCATTTATTATATGGCCTCCTCCAACTTTACAAAACAAAACGCCCTTGCTTTTTTTTTTTTTTTTTTTTGGAAACCAACATTTTATTGAGCTCTCCTCACCCCTCAGAATCTCTTCCAGCAGATTCTCTTTGTCCCGGGCATCACAGACTTGGGGGTGTGGCCAGCAC